CTAATATACAGAAAGATCTTTGTTTTTTTCTTATATGCAATGTTATTAATTCTTGATTAACTCTGTGCTTTCATATGACACTGTAGGTGTCTCCAATTGCAGTGTCCATCATAGCAGCCCATGAACCCCTAGATACCAGGATCATGTCCCTTTAACTTGTGTGGTAAAGTACCTTGTGCTGAGCCATATGCACACTGTACTGCATAAAAGCTTTTTAATGACAAATTAGATTTTTATTTCGGTTCATTACGCCTGAGTTTTCAGGCAATGTTCCGGATTTCATGGTTTTGTTTGTAATGAGTCATGGCCCCCTTGACAAACAAGAGAGTAATTAAACTAACCAGGTTATCAATAGAAGCTTGTGATAGATCTCCTTTTGTATATGGTTATTTCATCTTCAATAATAGCTGGATATCATAAAAGATTACAGCTTCTTGGTATGACAGAAAGAGAAATTAAAATCGGGGAGAGAAGAATGAAAATACAACTTTACCTGTGTGTCTTACAAACAGTGTCATAATACTTAAAGAATAGTTGGGTTTTTATTTACAGATGTTTTTTATATATATTATTGACTTTTAGAGGGGTTTAATAAATCTTTGTTTAACAAAGAAAGTTAAAAGTAACTAAGTTATCCCTTATCTTGTGTGAAGGAGAGAGCATTCATACCTATAAGATACCTTTACAGTTTTTATTCAGTTTTTTAGTAAACATGTTTCATTTTTTTTACCATACTATTATCAAGCACTTTAATGAAAACATTTCTTTACAGTATTTTTAGAATTTGTTTAATCTTTACAATTAAGAACACTACACAAAAGTTTTGTTAAATTTCACCCTTAACAAAAAGTGATGAATATGCTAGGGTATTTTAAAATGAAAGGTGATGTTCTGTTTCAAAAGTGTTTAAAGTTTCCGTATTCACTGCATATAGAGAAAACATTAAACTCAATATTTTCATCACTTTTTTAAATAAACTATGTCCATAGTACATACTTTTTTCAGGTTATTTGTCTGAATGAATACTTTTCAGGTTACTTGTCTGAATGAGAGACAAAGATTTGCATTTTTTTGGTTCTTGCTGTATTGAACTTCTTTTTCATAGTTATTTAAAATTACACATTGTTAAAAAGATTGACAGAAAAAAAAATGTATGTGAAAAGGACAAGCATATAAAACTCTACTGGAAAAAATCTAGATCTCAATAAGCCATGGGATTGGTGATAGCTTTTTAGATATCACACCAGAGATATCATCCATGAAAGAAATAATTGGTAAGCTGAACTTTACTAAAATTACACTTTCAACTCTGAGAAACACACTATTAAAATAAAATAAAGAGGAAAAAAGTGACAAACTGGGGGAAAATATTTTCAAGAGACACATCTCATAAAATACCATTACACATATTACAGAAAGAACTCTTAAATTCAGTGATTAAAAAAAAAAAACCTAATTTAAAAATGGACCAAAGATTTTATAGTAGTTACCTCACTAAAGAAGCTCTATAAATGGAAAATAAGCATATGAAAAAGCACTAAATCTATGTCATCAGGCATATATAAATTAAAATAATGACATATTATAGCTCCATCAGCAGGCCCTCCCTGGTGATGCAGTTGGCTGGAGCTCTGCACTGCAAAACTAAGCCAAGCTGCTTCAGTGCAAATTTGATCCCTTCCCCAGAGGTGATCTACATGGTGCGGCAGACCTCTCTTGACCCGCCCACTGCTCCCCTCAGCAGTTGTACTTGGTCGATCTCCCTGTTCTACTTCCCACTCTGTTTCTGGTGAATCCTCTCACCTCCCCTGCACCTCTGGCCTGTACCCCATTTCTGTATGCATGAATAAATAAACCTTTAAAAAAAAATAGCTCCATCAGAATGACCAAAATCTGGAACACATATATCTCCAAATAATGGCTTGAATATAGTGCAGCATACATGCAAACTGGTTCAGCATTTTGACCATCAATATGTGATGGAAATACAAAATGGCCCAGCCACTTTGGAAGATGACTTGGAAGTTTCTTATGAAACAACATATTCGTTGTTATCCAGCAGTCATACTCAGTATTTACCTAATGGAATTGAAGAGTTACACATCCACACAAAACCTACACGTGTATGTTCAATTCAACTTTTTTCATAATTTCCAATACTTAAAGCACTAAGATTTTCTTCAGTAGATGAATTGGTAAATAAACTGGTATGCTCAGACAATGGGATACTACTCAGTACTATAATGAGCTATCAAGCCATGAAAAGACATGGAAAAAACATTAATAAATATTAATAAGTGAAAGAAGATAATCTAACAAGATTATATGCAACATGATGCTAATTATGAGTCTCTTTGGAAAAGACAAAACTATGGAGACAACAAAAATATCAGTGGCTGAGGTAGGTGTGTGATAAATGTGAATAGAAAAAGCACAGAGGATTTTTAGGGCAGTGATAATATGTTCTGTGTGTGTGATATATATGTGTATATATGTGTGTGACTTTTGTCCAAACTCATAAAAGGTACAACAGCAAGAGTGAACCCCAGTATAAATTATGACTTTGGGCTATAATGACATGTCAATTTAATAAATTATAAATCTACACTCTTACAGGGAAATGTTGATAATGAAGAGGCTATCAATATATTGGGCCAAAATTTATATGTGCTTTTCTTATAACCTTTTGTTATCTAAAGATTTTCTAAAAATAAGACTTTTTTTTAAAGTAACTTATGCAATAAATCTTAATATTTTTCTCTAAAACTCTATTTATTGTCTTTCCCATCTCAGTCAATGTTTATCCTAACCTTCCATTTGAGCCAAATGAGACACCCTGGGTTTCTTTCTATTGGGTGTATTTGTGTGTGTGTGTGTGTGTGTGTGTATTTATCAAGAAATTCTATTGATTCCAACTTCACAATAGACCCAAACTCTTTACTTTATACTACCTTCAAGGCTATGCCCTGGTCTGTTCTGGGCTGACAATGTCAGTTTGACATGATCCCAACTTGTCCCCTGTTTTCATCCTGGTTTTTCTGGTTGCATCTCAACACAGAGTGATACCGTTTAAACAAAAGATTATTTCCCCTCTACTGTAGTGGTTCACCATTTCTCACAGATTAAAACCAACTCTTGAAAATAGTACATACGTATTTTATCCTTTCTATTCTTTCCAGTACTTTGGTATGTGATAAGCCAGGGTTCTCCAGAGAAACCAATGCAATGTATGTAAGTATGGGGCAAGGGAGGAAGGGAAAGAGAAGTATTGGATATTGATTATGAACAACAGATAGGGAGGCTGACATGACCCACAGTCTGATGTGTTCAGCCCCTATTTGAATCCAGTGGTATAATTAGCAGCCCAAGGAAATAAAAACCCAATATCATAGTTCATGTGTTGAATACTCCTGTTCTCTGCCTTATTTTTCCATTCAGGCCCTTGATGGACTGAATGAGATGCACACACATTAGAGATGGTAAAGTAATTTACTAAATCCCCGGATTCAAATGGTAACTACATACAGAAACACCCTCACAGACAAACTCAGAAATAATGATGAGCATATGTTTGAATACTCTGTGACCGAGTCAGGTTGACACAAAATTACCCATCACACTATATTTCCCTTGTTTCATGTTACTTTAGCCACTCTGACCTTGACCAGGATTATATTTGGGGTAGATGCCAGGCTTGTTTTCAGCCTCTGGACTTGTTAATGGTTCCTTCTTCTTGAAAGTTTTTCTCCAGAGAACCACATAGTAAGTTCACTCATCTGTATAGTCTTTGTTTAAATCTGACCTTCCAAATAAGAGCTATACAAGTTGTCCTACAAGAAATTACCCTCCGCTACTTTTTCTAATTCTTCATACTCACCATTAATGATTTTTAAGCATTGTATATCACAAATATGTAACTAATAACATATTAGTTAGCATGTTTACTGTTTGTAATCTGTATGTGATTTTATTGCTCACAATCTGGTACCCTTTTAGAATGTAAACTTCATCGCATCAGCGAGTTTAACTGCTTTCTGCCTTGAGAAATGCCTGGCAGGTATTGATGGCTCAATAACTATTTGCTGAATAAAAATGTCTATGCTACAAAGGTTTTTAAGCAACATTGTGTGCCAAGCATTGTGTCTTGATCTCTGAATATGTGAGGATGAATCAAATATTTACCTGCCTTCAGGCAAATGAAAAGGAAGCCTCATTTAACCATTAATAATTATAAGAGAGAAAGCATAAGTTTGAGAGATTTAGATGAACTACTTACAGTTGGAAAAGATTTCCAGTCAGAGCAATAGGGAACAGCTTAGTGATGGTAACACTTAAATTGGACCTTGAGTCTGTGGAAACGAAGAAAAATAGCACTGCAGGTAAAAGAAACCACATTTTAAAAATCTTGAAGTGCTAAAGCCCAGGGAGTAGTCTAAGAAAAACATGGAATATTGAAAGGGCTTAAGCTCTGAGTCAACATGCTTGACTTCAAATCCAATTCTGTAGCTGAGTAGCTATGTGACCTATTTAACCTCTCTGAGCTTCAGTTTCAGTTTTTATGTGTGTGAAATTTGGATAATACCATCTAGCTTAAAACATTATTGTGAGGATATTACGAACATAAAGCTGTTTGCCCAATGAATGGCTCCAGGTGATCACTCAATAAATGAGAGTTATTATTGGAGTATAGGGACTGGAGGACAGATGAAATGTTACCCTCACCAATAGAATTTTTCCAGTAAGAAGCAAACCCAAAATGTATTGCATTTATTCTGCACCCCCCAGAACATTCATCTATTGTCCAATTTGGAAAATGAAGCTGAAAATGACTACTCTTGTATTAAAAGCATAAAACATTGAAAATATGATACATTGGCCTATTATGCCTATTGGCATAATATTGCTTTGAATATAGAAGGGATAAAAACATATGTGTGTTATATTTCTGCTGAAGATTATTTTTAGTTCCTTAATAGTTTTTTTGTTTGTTTCTTTTTCAGTTGCTCCTACTATTCAGGAAATTAAATCTGGCACCGTGGCCCCTGGACGCAGTGGATTGATAAGATGTGAAGGTGCAGGTGTGCCGCCTCCGGCCTTTGAATGGTACAAAGGAGAGAAGAAGTAAGGACTTTGTGATCATTGCTGTATTTGAAGTACTTTGAGTTAATGTGTTTGTGTTTCAGATACTTGCTAAGCAATTTCTTTAACTGGCTTGAATGATTCTCAGCAGTCTCCTCCTGGGCAGTCAAACTGAAGGGGTTCACCTGGGAGACAGGAGCAGCTAATAGCATTCAGAAAAAAAATGTCCACTTTGGTTTATATGATCTCAGTTATGCCTGCAAATCCTCTATCACTGATGTTTTTCATTTAATCCCCTCCCTATGGAAACAGAATATCATGCTCTTGCTGGTGACCATATTTACTTAGGAAGCAAACCTGCTCTTAAAAAACTTGGGCACAGCTTCCATGAGTGCACTTCAGAGCAATCAGGGCTGCTGTCTTTGCCTGGCTTCCTTGATAAGCCTCAACCCTTCCACCTGCCTTACTCTCCTGCAAGGTATTGTAACATGTTGTTTTATAGGACACTGTGGTTTAGATATTCTATCACTAAAGCAGCTGTAGAGGAGATAAAGTATACAGTTAAGGAACAAAGCGGAGGGATTTTAGGTTAACCTAACTTCAGTTCTACCTTGAGAAGCCCCAGAAGCCTTGGCAAGTGCTGTTGAACAAGAAAAGACAGGGATTGACTACTTTCTTTTTACTTTCAACAATTAATCTGATTCAGACCTTTTGTGCTGCTTTTACCAAGCCATCAGAGAGTAAGACCCCTGTACTTTCACTGTAATGCAGAGGGGAGGGCATTGTCTATACAATATTTATCTTGCCTCAAAGCTAGGAGCCATGTATTAAAGAAAATGCTAGACTGAACCATATGAGATTGCCATTTTTTCAGTCAAAAAAATTAAATATCAGACATTTCATAGTGTTCAACATATGCATAAAGACCTTATTTGTACCATAGTTCTTAACTAATTACCACAAACATTTGAACAGAAAACTGGTAAAATCATATATAAACTTGGATTTTGCTACAATGAATGAGCAATTGAAGAGAATGAATGCCATATAAGCATATTAATTGCTTTTTTAAACTGTAATCAAAGGACGAAATGTATGGGCCTCCCAGGTAGCACAGTGGTTAAGTCTCAGCATTCTCACACTATGATGGCATGGTCTGCGTTTGATCCTTGGCCAGGGAGAAAACCCACATGGAACACAACAGACCTCTCCTTTCTCTCCTGCTGCCCCCCCCTAGTTAACACCCCCACTCATATTTCAGTGGATATGCCTGTTCTGCTCTCCATCTGTCTCTGCTGCACTCTATCACCCCCTACACCTCTTGCCTGCACCCCAGTTCTCTGCATAAGCAAATCTTTACAAGACATATATTATTTAGAATATAATAAAATATAAAAATACTCTTTTATAGAATAGAATATATTCTCTCTTCAACACCCATCTTAACAATTAAGTATATTACCTCTCTTTTATTCTAAGTAACTAACATTGGTTTTATTGAACAATGTTATAGCTATTTTATGTGCAACCATTTCTGTAATTTAAAATGTTCAATTTTAATTCTATTAAATTAAAATTCTATTAATTATTGCCTTTACTAGTTCTAACTCATGTTTTTTGTGACTCCATGAAAGCCTGCTTATTTTTATATGCTAGAGTTAGATAAATAATTCTATGGTCACCCTTGTGCCACCCTACAAGGTTTTATATGTTTGTGTGTGTGTGTGTAAAGATTATATTATATACTATCTAATATATACATATACACACACACATATATATAAGATATTAGATAATATATAATATAATCTTTCTCAGGTTCTAATAACCCAGAGGAAGTTTTTGATTGTGATTATGTGGACAAGCATCTGAAAGAGTGGTTCTTAATCTGTTGAAAGTCATGAAACTCTTTGTTGTTGTACAATTTTGTTTAGAACCCAAAATCCTGGGTTCTTCGCAAAGCAGGTTTATATAATGACTTATATTTCAAGTCATTTTTGAATCTCTTCCATTCTTTTTTAAAAAGCTAATAATTATTTCTGTAGTACCAGAGCTTCTATAAGTCCATTGTGTTTTCAATAATTTGGGAAGTTATGTCCTATTTTTTTGTTGTTGTTACTGTTCTCTCTTTCCCTTTACTTATTCAGCAGCTGTTGTTAAAAATAATAATAAAATTTTTATTCTCTGCCCACTTTCTTAGTCTGTAGCCAGTGTAGAAAAGGGTCAATTGGTGATAGTTTCGGTGACTCTTTTCCCCCAACTTGAGATAGATTATAGTTTCTATTTAGATCTTCAAAGGAATTTAAACCAATGCTAAATAACTTAGATTGATTCTGCCCTGACAATGCCCTTTCCAAACATACACACCTAAACGAATTCAGGAAGCTTTGAACAATCAAATGTACTTTTTGAAGGCAAATATATTTGCATTTCAGAGAAAATATACAATTATCATTTGTCAAGCAATATACAAATGCCCCAAGAATATCTCAATTCTTCTCAAAATTATAATAAAGCACACTTGAATATATGCAAGGAAAGGAGAGAGAAGAATTCTAGTTGCTGAACGGTTGTCACCATATCCTCTGTTAAAAATCTATCATGCTACCGTCAGGAACAAATTCATTTAAACATTTATTTCATCAAAATCAAATATAACTATAAGCACTGGCTAAATTGACAGGCAATATCCAAAATTATTAACAAATATTAGCCTATGTTATTTTCACAACAAACCTACAAGGCAGATTCTATTATTGCTTTTGGTGTGGGGAGCATACCAAATCAGTGTTTTTTTTTAGGTAATTTGAATATATTCAGACGATTAATAGCAGATTTGAGCCCAGGAAATCTAACTTGCAATCTAACCCTGAATTGAAGCCCTATAATATAGCACATAGTACAGACCATGTACCTCAGACTTTATCAAGAATAATTTGAATGTCAATGTTAAATGCCAAGGGTAAAGGCAAGGAAAGTCAGTAATGAATTAGTAAAATAATACCATAAGTTCAAACATTCACTGAAGTTTTCCTGTTTATGTAGTCACAGACACTGAAGTAATAGAGTCAAGGCAGGCACACAAAAAAGAAACAGGGATAGCATGTTTCTGAATTGTTTTCTTGACCTTAGGGTCCTTAACAGGAACACAAAGCTGTCAAAAACCCTGTCAGAATACAGCAAAGTTTTTACAAGATCTTGAGAAGTTTTAGTTCCTGGGGATCTTTTATAATTGGGACATATAAAAAAATACTCAGACATAACTTACTCTCTTCACTTCTACTTAAGGGAATGTTTACAAACCTCTTAAATCTCTCAAGTCAAAATCTTCAAAGCCAGATCTTCATTCAAATAAATATACACAAGCTCAAGTAAAAATGTCTGTCCAGTATCTGGCCATTCTTAGTGTGATCTCTGTCTACAGTTTGGCATCCTATAAAATTCATTTCTGTGTGCTGGAAATAAGCACCTTAAAAACCTTAAAAATCTTGCAAACTTTAGGACAATTAATTGAAAAGAATGAATTGATACGAATTGCTTTGTAGGTCCTTTAAACTCTTTTATTTCATTTACTTTTCAGATTTCTGTATTATCATTCTCAATTTATTGATGACAAAATCGAGACACACGAGACATAGAATAGTTGTCCAACTACTCAACTTGAAATTGACATCAGGATGTATTTTAGATTTGCCAGCCACTCAGCACATGTCCTTTTCCTTGTATACAAACTTATATTTGTATACATTGTTATTATTATTTGTATTTGTTATTATTATTTGTATACAATGATATTATTAGTTATCTATTGGTAAGGAACACACTAACTAGTGTGACTAGTTTAACATCTTAAGCTAGTAAGCATTTATTATGTCAGTTTCCAAATGTGAGGAATCCAAAAGCAGCTTAGCTGGATGGTGATAGCTCAGGTCTCTCAGCAGGTTGCTGTCAGGATGTCACCTGCTCATTTGAAGGTTTGATAAGAGTTGGAGAAACTGCTTCCAAGGTCATGCACCTATAAGTCCACCAAGTTAATGCTAGTTATTGGCAGGTGACCTCAGTTAACTACCACATGGACCTTTTTATAGGTTGTTTGACTGTCTTTATGACATTACAGTTGACTTTTCCCAGGTCTAGTGACCCATGAAGGTAGAATGTTTATGTCTCAGCCTCAGAAGTCATTCTCTGTCACTTCTGGAAAACCTTTCTGGCTAAATAGTGTGACTGTTCAGTGTGTAAGGGGCAACACAGGAATATGAATATCTATAGATGAAAAGCATCAAATGCCATCTTCACAGACGACTCCCAACTAGCTCCTCATACATGATATAATTGTCAATTGGAAATACTAGTCATTGACCTTCAGCTTATTGAATGGTTTATATAGGATCACAGGATGACTAAAGTTATATATATATATATATATTATATAATATATTATGTGTATATAATATATATATATATTATATTCAAATATCAACCTTTAGTTAAAAATATTTTTAACAGTTATATTCTTTCAGCCTACCTGTCAAAAATATGCATAATAGACTTAATTTTAACTCATATGATTTTAACTATCAGGAAAATCAAGAGTTTAGGGTTCAATAACTTAGAGCCAAATTTTCAATTTTTCTCTTGATAATAGAGAATATTTATAAGAAGATTCTTATATGCAGTGAAAGACACTTTCAGAAAAAGCAAAGTACTGTAGAGCAAATTATGTCTTGGATGAATTTAATTTTATAGGCTGAGAACAGTATTCACTTAGGATTAAGACTAAAATCATGAATTAAACTGTAATGGACTAATATTTAAATAAATATTGCAAAACTGTGAGATTTGTATCACTCGAAGAAGATGACATGGTATTCTTGTCTTAGTTAAGAAATTTGCTCTTTGCTTGCTTGTTTTATCTTATTTTGATTTTTCTGAAATAAAAACCTCTGGCCTAGAAAGACATATCTTCTGATTTCTCATTATGAGTTTTTAAATAGTATTTATTTGCTTACTTTATCTGACCATAATGGTCAGTAGTAGCAATG